AAGTTAGATTTAACCACAAAATTTGTTATGAAATGAATTAGAAATCGTATATTATTGACCCTTAGGTTATAGAGAACAACTTTCTTCGAAAAACTTCAGAATCCGGGCACGTGGGCCCGGGGTCGAATTTTAGAAAACTTGTGTTTATGGGTGGGAAATTGCTTAAATAGTTAGAATGCGATCTTGTGAGCTTGTATTGACTAGTTCCTACCTCGTTTATCTAGTTTTGGATCATTTGACTCCAAATTTGAGAGTTCGGGCTCGTTCTTGGTATTGGAAGTGCACTTTAGAGCGAGGTGAGTTTCCTATCTAATCTTGTAAGAGGGAATTGTCCCCATAGGTGATGTAATCTAATAATTTGCCATTAAATGTGGGGGCTACGTACGCACTAGGTGATGAGATTCTGTGTGTAGCTACTATTACGCTATGTTCGGGTAGTTTAGGGCCCAGAAGCATGCTTTATGTAGTATTCTTGCAACACTATCTTTAATTCGGATTGCTTAAATCATGGTGATTATGATAAATGAGAGTAGTTAAGAGGAACATGATCTTTCTTGGCCTTTTTAAAGATAAGTTGTAACTCAGTGAGTAATTTCTCCCCAGTTATGTATTCTTGTCTGCTTGTTGCTGTGATTAATTACATTGACCGCGTCGCATGGTTGATTCGCGAGCGGGGTAATAGATGCATCTATGCACTACTAAAAAAATTAGGTTTTAGCGACAGACAAATTCTGTAGCTAAACAGAAAAATGCGTCGCTAATCTCATTTAGCGACGGATTAACAACGTATTATCAAAAGATTCTGCTAGCTACGAGCATTTTAGCGACAAATAAACGATGATGTCCGTAGCTAATTTCAATTTTTTTTTGTAGTGATGGTTCGTGCCCTTCGACCCTCGGCAGTGTACAATTTACTTTTATGTTGGATCGGGCCGTACGACCTCGGCACTACTTGTGCATGCTTTACTCAGTATTTTCCTATGACTTGAGTTTATTAATTGTCCTGGAATGGGAGTTGCCAGCTGTGACATTATCTAGGAGAGGACTTGTTAGTTCTTGCTATACACTGCTAATCATTTGTTTCATCCATGCTTAGTATAATTCATCTCTCATATTATTTGACCCTAGTAAGTGTCAAGTCGACTTCTCGTCTCTACTTCTTAGAGATTAGACAGGATACTTACTGGGTACATATTGTTCATGTACTCATAATATATTTCTATACTTAATTGTACAGGATCTGAGGCAGGTTCATCTGGCTATCAGACCGGTGCGCGTCCCTGATCATAGTCTGGGACTTCCATGGTGAGTTGCTTCCCTTCCTGTGCCGATCAGCAGCTGGATGGAGTCTTCCTTACTTTTGACTGTCTATTCTGTTTCAGACAGTAGGATAGATGTATTATTTTGTATATTCTACTAGTTGCCCACAGCTTGTGACACCAAGTTTTGGCACACACATTAGTAGACGTTTCTTTTGGATTGTACAATTATTATTGAATGTTGCATATTATTACCTGCTTTTAATTGTAGATTAAGAAAAATATTGTAACTGTTTTGGGTAAGTAAAATAGCGCCATCATGACCTATTATGGAAAACGGGCCGTGACAATATGAGGTCGAGCTTTGGTCTGCAACCCTGATTTCGATTAGCCATACAAAATTAGAAAAACCCGATTTTAATGTATACAGACACTTAAATATTTATACATATTTCGCGAGCTAATGTAAATTTAAATTAGGCATGCACATAAATAAGAAGGAAAAAAAATGATATATGACTTGAGTTTTACGTTATCTAGCAAAGACCTTCTGGAATACAAGGAATCAATTGCCTTATGGGCTTCGAGAAAGTGTTGCACGTCAGAAGCTTCTCATAATCGGTAATTTAAACGTAGTATATTAATTATTTCCCTGCATAAATATTTAATTTGAACCAAAATGCATAGACTAAGAGTGTACTGTTTAATAAAAAATGTAGATAGTGGTTCAACTAATTAGATTTAAATAAAGAAGACTTAATCTTAATTAAAAATAATATCCTAAAGATAAAACTATCGGTGTTGTGACAAATAACTAGTATTTTTGTCCGGATGGCAACGAATATTAGCAATAATAACAGTATTAAATGATCCAAAAAATAAAATATGGCGTTAAATAATAATAAATGGCAATAAATGACATTTAAGTAAATAAAACGTATAAGTCACCGGAAAATGGATGAGATCAGTAGATATTCTTTATGATAATGGTGAATGATTGATAAGCATTTGAATACTTAGGTTGTTCTGGGATCCGGTGGAAATGCTAGACAAGAATCGTAGTAAAAAGGTTTTTTCGTATGTTTGCAATAGGACCAAATTCTCTCTATAAAGTTAATGTATTTTTTATAAATGAATATGTCATGTCCCTTATCTTTGTGTATCTTTCGATTTATAGGGAACATGTTCCTAGAAACCCTAATAGTACAAGTGCAGAGAATATTCTCTTTAGTGCCCTATCTTGAAACTAGCCGCTACAACTCGGTCAAGAATGTTCAACCTCGACCTTAATCTTTGATGACTTCTCGACCTTAATCTTTGCTGACTCTTCGACCGCAACCTTCATTGTTTCTAGAGCCACTTCGACCATGTGCATGTCTCTATTAGAGTTGCAGTGGTGACACATGGCGGCATGTGAATGCCTCATTAATGCTAACATGACTTAATCATATTAGAGATAATTTTTGACCCATACATGTACCAATCACAAATACATTGAGGACACGTTAGGTACGAGGGATAAGAGATAACTAATACCAGAATTAAATTTGAGATGAGTTAATTATCTCACGTTTGATTGGAATGAATTCGCGGTATAACTAATCCCGAAATTAGTTATTCCGGAATTGTAGTCTTATTTCTATCCCTAAAAAATAACGGAATAATAATTCCGAAATAATTAATTCTGGAATAACTTGTTTAACCCACAAATATTCAATTTAACCCACAAATATTGCAGTTACAAAACCTAGCTAGAGTACGTGTAAATGAATGTTGTAACAAATTACGCTAAACAAGACCTAATAAAAGTAAAATATTAAAGCCAAAATAAAGACATCACGCACCACAAATCGTGTACAACTAAGTTAAATGCAAGAAATATAATATATCAGTAAAAGAGATTATATATTCAATTTAAATCATCAAGCAAGTTATACAAGAATTAATAATGATGTATGCTAAAAAATATAGATTACTAAATAAAAATTTGAAAAAATTGTTGCATTAAAGCTAGCTGTCTAGTAATTATGTGCAGTTCTCCTCACCAACACTGGTTGGTATCTAACAAACTTCATTGACAATGGAGTTGAAACTTTAAGAATCTTGTCTTGGAACAACATGTCACGGCGGTCCAAGGCGGCGCCAGTGGCTGGCGGCGTTTCAAGAACGCCGCCACCCACAGAAGCTGGCGCCGCCGCAGCAACATCATCAGTAAAAATATTTTTGTTGTTGTTTCCGTTGATTTTTGGTGGCCTTGGATAGTAAAAATCAGTAGGGAAGAAATAATATTGAAGACCTGCCATTAATATAAAATTTCTGAGTGAATTTGTTTTTGTTTGTTGTGTGTGTTGATATTTTCTTTCTTTGCCTTTTTGTTGTGTATTTATAGAGAGAGGAAAATATTCCAAATTGAAGTAGGAGAAGGAAAGTGCATAATCTTGACTGCCTTGTTCATCAAGTAGTTTCCTATTCAATTTATGTCTACCAACGTGTTTTCTAGAAAAAATTTGGGAAAAGAAAAGTGACATTGTATATAGCCGTTTTCAAAATAATAGTCGAAGAAATATATATCTTTTGATTATTTTTGTATATATATACATTTCTTATATGCAAAAGATAGTACAAATTTTATAGTACAATTTTGTGGCTATCAGATGTAAATAGTTTTTGGCCGTGGGCTAACAGTGATATTTGCCCAAATTGTTTTGACTTAAATTAAGCGGGCGTTTGGACATAAGAATTGTAAAATTTCAAAAAAAGGTAAAAAAACGAAAAAATTTAAGTGAAAATGGTATTCTTAATCTGAGTTGTGTTTGGACATGAATATAATTTTGAGTTGTTTTTGAAGTTTTGTGAGTGATATGAGTGAAGATTTTGAAATATAGTTTTCTAGAGTTTTTCAAATTTTCGAAAAATTTCAAATTCATATTCAAGTGAAAATTATAAATTTTATGACCAAACACTAATTCGAAAAAAATGAAAAATTTTCGAAAGAAAGTGAAAAAAATCATATGTCCAAACGTCTCTTAAATATCCAACAGAGAAAATTGACTTTTATCGAACCTAGAAGTACTTGGGAATCAAGAATATAATATATATCTGCATAGAATATACTTTACTTCTTTTTGAGCAACAGAATGGTCATAATTTGTATATGAGAGAAGTTTCCAAATTAATCCTACTGACTTTGAGAAACAATAAAAGTTAAATATCAATTTCCTTTGGATGGTTGTTACATGCTGTTCGGTCGTAAAATTATAGTAAGAGCAAGATGAACATAAAATAAGGCAATGATGCAACCACACCAAATCGATCGTTACGTATTACTCCTACATAATAATAGATTTAACATACGATACAATAAAATTAAATTAGGTGTGTTATTCTTATTGTGGCGGACGAAAAATACAGACCGTTGAATGTAGAAGTAAAATCTGCTAAAAAATGATATTAATTTGTGAGATGAACATGAATTAACAGTTGTAGAGAATCAATTCTATGCCCTAGGGCACAATCGAGCAGAGAGTATAGATAGATGTGAAGAAGTCTAGAGAGAAAAAGGAAAATTATCTTTTTGAGTCTATGTAGGGGCAGCTTGGTGCTCAAGGCATCTTGTGTTTACGCAGGATCCGGAGAAGAGCCTCACCCCGAAAAATATGATGTAGACGACCTACCCTAATGAAAGCATTAGTGATTGCTTTCGCTGCTCGAAGCCGAGATCTATAGACTATACAGAGACAATTTTAACGTTGCTCCAAGGCTCCCTTCTTTTTGATTGTATATAACTGACCATTAATACATACATGACCATTCTCAGAGCTGATAATATAATTGTCATAGTAATATAGAGTACACTCTGTAGCAGAAAATATAATAGTTCCTATCTACGTTTATACAAAACTTCATATGCACCCTCACATCAAACTTCTATTTAGCAATTGCTGCACAATGAATCAATGAAAGCTTGTTGTATTGATCACTTATGTGCTGAAACAATCTCTTCCAATACAAATGCACAACTTCTCAAGTTATAACCTGCATATTAGTGACCACAGATTAGAATCCTCTTATAGTGAATAAAATCAGTAAATATTGTCATAATTTATCATTCATCACTCTCGTTGAAGGGGAGCCTTGGCGTAACTGGTAAAGTTGATGTCATATGACGGTTTCGAGCCGTGGAAACAGCCTCTTACAGAAAGACTACATACAATAGACCCTTGTGGTCCGGCTCTTCCATGGACCCGTGCATAGCGGGAGCTTAGTGCACCGGACTGCCCTTCTACTCTTGTTTTCAACTTTTACTGACTGGCTAATTCTTCTTTGTAGCCACACTGGTAGTAAAATCATTCAGAACTGCATAAATTGGTTTCTATAGTCCTATTTAGCCTAGACATCTGTTAATTCTATATGTTACCTTTGAGTTTCCTTTTTGTTATTTTGTAATATAGTTTCTATAGGCTTCTTTTGTCGCAACCAGTGAAGTAGAAAGTATACAGGAAAGTATGCTTACCTTCATAGTTCCTATAGGAAAGTAGTCAAAGAATTTGTTGGATTCATATTTCTGGGAGTGGAACAACTGCTTCGAATGCTTCCACAAGCATCGCCACTCTTTTTTTCCTGGCAGGAGTTAGCGTGGTTACTATATGCTGCATCGCATAATCAAGCATCCATTTTTCTGCTTTTTTCCTCTCATCTGTCATTTGATGCTTTAAATCCACTGTTTCAGGTTCTTGATCAGGCGTAGGAGGCAGAAGCTGAGGCGCTCGTGGATTAAATTTCCTAGCTTTTTCCAGTGCCTTGATTGATCTCTTGAGGAGGATCAACTTCTTCAGCTTGCTCCAGTTTTTGGACTTTTGTGGCTCAATTTTGTTCTTGGTTAAAGGGAGTGATTTGTCTTCTTCTGTGCTGATAGTATTAGCTTCCGGACCCTTTGTTTCTTGATCCAACGTTTTTCCATCTTCGCTCATGCCATGATTTGTCAAGCTCTCCTCTGTAGAATTTGAGCTGTTCTTTGCTTCACCTTCCATATCAGAGAACCCCTGGTCCATGGTTATGTCACTGGTTATCGACTGTGTATCAGATGAATCATCTTGAATTGGCGTTGTAAGGATCTCGTTAACTGCCTCTCGTATGAGTTTGACAGCATCATCTCTGCAAAAATTTCTCCCATTGTGGATTGGATTATGATCTTCTCTGCTTGTATCTGGCTCATCCTTTGTGTCGGTGAAATCCTGGCGAGAATTACAGGTTCTCGTTCTAGTTGGTGTATTGCTGTCCTCCACCTCATCATCAGTTCCATCAAGTAGTTCATTTCCAACTTTTGATGCAACATCTGATAGCACATGTTGTGATATCATGTGCCACATGCTGATGTAGTTCCGCTTATCCACCTGATTTTGGGATGCTGCCTCGTTTTTCTTTGGATCGGACATTGCAAATAGGAGAGAAAATCCCCGAACAGCTTTAGGTGCTTTTTCACGTTCTTTTGCTGACTCTGCAATAGCTACATTTTCTTGCATTGCTGCATCACAGGCTGAAGTTGAACTCTGGATGCTCACTGCAGCGGATGAATCCGACAGTTCACCATCATGATTGTCAAGCTCTAACTTCCTGTCTCTCGCTACTGAATGTAAATCTACAGCTGTACTTTTGTGCGACTCTTGGAGCTCCACATTGTCTGCTTCTTTTACCTTCTCGTCGCTGGATATAGTGGCATTCTCAGTGGCCTCACATTCGGAAACTGAAGAGACATCGCCTGCTCTAGTGACCAATTCATTATCCTTGCTTGTGATTTGCAAATGTTCTTCACTGCTGGCTCTGAGGTTAGGAAATGCAACCTGGCTGTTGTCTCCTTGGGGTGGAACTACCGTTTCAAATGCTTTTATAAGCAGTTCCACTTTTCTTTGCTGAGTCGGAGCAAGTTGACTTATCGCCTTCTGAAGTGCATAATCAAGCATCCATTCTTCTCCTCTTTTCCTCTCATCCGCTGTTTGAGGTCTTAGGTTAACCTTTTCTGCTTCAGGATCAGGATTCAACTGCAAAACCCGCGGCTTCCTTGGATTGATCTTTCTCACCTTTTCCAACTCCTTAACGAATCGTTGGAGAAGTATCCACTTCTTAAGATTGCTCCAGTGTTTTGGTGCTCTCTTCTCGGGTTTGCTTTTGACATCTTTTCGTGCTGGCTCCTTCTCTGAGCCGCCAATGTCTTCTGTGTTCAAACTTTTTGACTCCAAGTTTTCTTTGGTAGACACTGTTGCATTGAAAAACCATACATCAATTTTTCAGGATCATTCCTATAGTGAGAACAGATAAAACTTACATCTACTCATGCTAAAATTCTCATTAAACAACACCAACTACAACGACCCAGTGAAATTCCACTAGTGGGTAGTGGAGTCTAGGAGGGTAGTGTGTACGTAGACCTTACCCCTACACCGAGGGGTAGAGAGGCTGTTTCTGAAAGTCTCTCATTAAACAAATAAAGACAATATAGGCTGTACTAATTTCATACCTTCAATGTGATTCATTTCCAAGGATTCTTGATCTGCACTGGACTCGCTTGTAACTGATTGGTCATCAGATTGAACTTCTGGAAGAAGGATTCTTTCGATTGCTTCTCGTACCAGCTTGATGGCGAAAAGCTTCCGCAATTCAACTTCTTGATTTTCTGCATCCTCATTTGCAGGTATCAATTCTCTTTCAACAAAAGCCGAACATGAGTCAGAACTTTCTTCATTAACTCCACTAGACGATTTGTTTTCAGATTCTGCAGATGCATCCGGAATCATATGCCTACGAATCATACTCCACATGCTCATATGCTTCTTCTTTGGTTCAGCAACTTCAAGTGGAAGACAATTCTTGGATTCAGAATCCACAGCTGAACCTGATGTGCTATCAACGTCCTCGTCCAGATCAGCTTTGCCATCCTTTTCTTGGATATTTCCAAGTTCCAGCTGGATATTTCTAGCTGAAACTGAAGAGTTTTCACTGCTACATTTTTCTCCGTGAAAAATATCAAACACCGATCTCGTTCTATTAGTGAATAGTCCATCTTCAGACTGAGTGTTTGCACTGCTACATTTTGCTCCATTAAAAATATCCAACACCGATCTCGTTTTGTTGTTACTTTCATCCTTACCAGATGTAGAGACACTATCATCTTGCTTTAAGACAAGTGAAAGATTTCTCTCCCGGTGACCGAAAACAGCTGATGCTGTAGTACTGTCATCTTTTGAGTCTACAGCATCAGTAACAGAAACAGATTCACTCCGCTCTCGCGCCATACAATTGCAGCATGTTGAAGCTGTAAAATGAGTGTCTTGTTCTTGTGTAGAATATTTTCTCATTATGTTGAGTGTCTCTTGGTAACTTTGTTCTGGAAATGATGTTTCACCAAAGGCAATCTCAGCAAGATCAGCATATTCAAGAGCCTGGTAAAATCCAGCATCTTCTTTAGTATTGCTTTCTACACAAACAGAAGGATCTGCACTGGGGCTGAATTGAGTCATTTCAGAAAACTTCTCTCCATTTCTTGACTCACTTTTCATTCTGATACTTTTTTGTGATTTCAGCACTCTTTTCCTCCTATAGACGCGCTTTACTGGGGGCGAAGGATCATCATAATGTCCTCCATGTAGAGAACAATGATGATATGAACAAACTTTAAACTTAGATATCCTATCTGATTCAGTTTGTCCGGGTGGAAACACCACATGTTCGCGAAACTTAGAATCCTTAAGAGTCGAAGAACACGTTGCCTTATCCGGAATTTGACAGCATTTAGAGGAACCCCTCTTGGATTTAAAACTAGCCTTATTTATCAAAATCTTGACACTTCTCATACTAGTTGTCCTTGACAAACTCTGCACATATTTTTTCGGACTCCGGCTTTGATCACTACTATCAAAGCTAGATTCATAGCTATTATGTAAACTTGAATGAGAATAACTTTTACCTTCAGAACAACTTGTTGTTTTCCTATAATGTGGTGGTGATGATTCTGAAACATCAACTGAAGATGAATTATGAGAACTTGCAGCATAATCAGATATAGGACTCTTGATTACTGATCTTGACCTTCTTCTAAATGACCTTGTGCTCCCAAAGTTCTTCATTATCTTTTTCATTACTGGTCTGTTCTTGATTTTGTCATCCTTATTTTGTGCAGATAATTCAGCTGCTAATGATCTTGAAGTTGATGAATCAATTGAGATCTCATCTACTGATCCAATCCCCTTCTGAAACATGTAAAAGGGTGTTACACAAAAGAAAGAATTGGTATTTTGCTTTCTTTAACAATGATCAATTCAACCAAGAAATGACACTATCATAATTTTGACAAGTAAGAAAAAATTCATACTATAATATTATGTCTTTGTCAACACATATAGACTACTAGGACTAAGTCAATACTTCTATGTTGTGTTGCTCGGACTCTTCAAAATACAGTCGGGTACGTGTCGGATCCTCCCAAACTAATGCATTTTTGAAGGATTTGACATTGGTGCGGCAAAATTTTTGCAGAATCCGAATAACATACTTTCTATGTCATTTGTACTGTTTGATCAAATACAAGAATCAAGAAAGTGCAGACACTTAGTTTTACCTGAGAAGTACTTCCTTTCTTTGCATCATAGCTAGTTGTAACCTTCATATAATTTGGTGATAAATCTGGCATTTTCACTAGACTTAGTTGGTCAGAGCTCAAGTTATCAATTGTTGGATCAATGGAGAGACAAGAAAACTTTGATTTTGAGCTATTTTTTGAGGATGTTTTTTTCAAGAAAGACAGTCTTGGAAATCTGATAGATCTTAGCTTGTTTGGTTTCTTGTTGGAGTTTAAAGTTTGTGTTAATGTTGATTCAACTTCCATTCACCCCTTTTCAAGATTTCACTTTTGGGGTTGTAAAAAGGTAAAATCTTTTTTTATTTATTATTATTTCACTTGTTCTTTTATTTATTTTTTATCTGTGGTGATGTTGAGATTTTCTTATATATAAGAGATTGTTGTGATTCTTGTTTTTGTATTATAATAATGCAGTGGTCAAAAAGGTTAAGAATAATAATCTTTTTAGATTAGTGGCTGACATAAAAGATTATAGATTCTAAAGTTTGTAATTGGATTTAAATGATTGGTTTTTCTATGGACAATACATTAAAATTTAGAAGTTAACTAGCTAATTAGTTCTAGATGATGTAAGTGATATGTGCTTGATGTGGATTGTACTGTGTGCTGTTCTGTTTGTACCTTGACTTGTCAAGATTGGCAAAGTTGCCTATTGGCATCATATAGTTGGGATTTTTTATTAGAATGTGGTTGAGATTTTTTGACTTGTACAAAGTTGGTGTTCTTGACTTGGCTTCATTGATTCTTGACTTATCTTTTTGTGTGGATGTCTTCTACTTGAGAAAGACTTAATTACTATTTTTTATGTACAATGACAGTGCATATATTATTATTTTTTTAAGTTATAAATTAATGTTTATCAATATAAATTTACTTGTAATGACTTTATAAGTGGGCGTTTGGACATAAGAATTATAAAATTTCAGAAAAAGTGAATTATTTTTCAAGTAAAAATGGTATTTAAAAATTAGAGTTGTATTTGGACATAAATATAATTTTTGGTTGTTTTTGAATTTTTGTGAGTTATCTGAAGTGAAATTTTTTAAAAACAGATTTTTGGAGTTTTTCAAATTTTCGAAAAATTTCAAAATTCATTTTCAAGTGAAAATTAAAAATTTTATGGATAAATACGAAAAAAGTAAAAAAATTCGAAAAAAGTGAACTTTTTTTATGGCCAAACGGGCCCTAAGAACATGGTGGTGTGAATATTTTTTTACTTCAGAGTATAAAATGTAAAATCTTTGTAAATTTTTTCTCAAATCATAATTAAATGAATGAATTTCTGTCTGTCAAATGGAACCAATCAAGGAGGTCTATCTGGCAAAAATTGTTGAATTTATTCCATTTTTTGTTCCATTTTCCATTTGATTCCCACACCCTTGAGTGTGAATGGATTTTTTTTATTTCATAGCCAATCTCAACCAATTCCTTTTAAGATTTAAGTTTACACCGTCATTATAATTTTAAATAGTATAGCAAATTGCTTACTATTAAATTACATAAAGTAGTCTGTAATTATTTTTAAATGATATGATTGTTTGCACCACTTGTACACAAACTTAAAACTCTTTTATTTAAGTCATTCAAATATGAAAATAGTTTCCGGTCCATAATAAGTGACTTTTTGCCTTTAACATATCCTTAAGAAAATATTAACTCAATTACCCTTAATTAAAATTTGCATATTGTTACCTTGACACATTGGGATATGTGAAGGGTAAATTTTAAAAAAATAAGTTAATTTTTTCTTGATTATGTAAAAGGACACTTATTTTGAATCAAAACAAAAAGGCCAAAAAGTCATTTATTATAGATCGGAGGGAGTATTATTTTATATAATTTTCAGAGCTTGAAAATCTTAAAATAATGAGGTACATATTACATATATCAGCGAATACATAACATATATCTTCATTATATAATTCTCACTAAATTATGGTTAACTAATACACATTTGTACCTTAACAGCTTGTTTGGATGGTTGTTACTCATTGTATCGTATCGTATTGTTCCTTTAAATACAATGTTTGTTTTAATTGTTACTTAAATTTTATTGTATCGTATCGTTAAATCCGTCGTTACATAACGACGACATGTGCCACTTTATGTAACGACCGATTTGGTGTGGTCGCATCGTTACCTTGTCTTTTTCTCTCAATCTCACATTTTATTATTATTAAATTATTTTATTTTATCATTTACCCTACTTTTTTATATAGTAATTTTACCTTGTATCATAATTTTTCTTTATAATATTACAAGTTTATTCTTCATATTGCTGGTGCGTGATATCATGAAACAATGACAAATGACACAATCTATCCAAACATTGTATTTATCAAACGATACAGTACAGTACAATACAATACAGTATGATACGATACATTATGAAACGATGCATAACAACTATCCAAACAAGCTGTAATTTATCATGTAACTATGATATATTAATATGATTTGGAATAAAACTTAAATGCGAGCAAGTTTTTACCGGCATTGTATTAATGTTAGAAGAAGTTTGAGGGTATTATTGTATTTCCAATTTCACGCGTTTGGGAGGTCAATGCTGATTAATTCCAGTTAAGTCAACACTCACCACCGACTAATTATTAAATTGAAGCTGACATTTAATTTTCTTTCCAATTTTTAATAAATGGATTTTCCACTTTATTCTCATCAATTTTTTAAACTGTTGCTATACTGATTTGCCAGATAATACGCACATGGTACCAAGTAATCATGCTTTGTCCCAAATGAGAAAATATAAACAAACGCCTTCACCATCAAAGAATATAATGTAATTGTCACACCTCCTTTTTGCGCGCCCCGCCCCCAGGGGTAAGATGCGCGGGTGGAGTTTTTTCCAATTTAAGTGACAATATTCGAAATGGGATTATTTATTTAATTCAGAGTCGCCACTTGGGAAAGGTTTGGCTTTTGGTGTCCCAAGTCACCGGTTTATCTTGAATCCCAAATCGAGGAAATTTTCGACTTTTCCAAATGAAGTCTGCGAACCAGAAATTCTAAGTAAGGAATTCTGTTGACCCGAGGGAAGGTGTTAGGCACCCTCG